GACACTTATAAGCAATGAAGGGAATGCTGCTGTAGTGTCTTATCATAAAATAGCTTTTGGCATTAATTTAAGACAGATGACTGTTTTCTTATGGTTTTCCTTTTAGCATCTTCACAGACTTGACAACACATCAGGTTGGATTAATATTCCACCTGGAAGCAAGTACTTACTTTCTGCCCACTGCTATTTCATGGGACCTTTCAGGTTTTCTCTTTCACACCAAAGAGGCAGTAAATTGTCATGATTGGTATCTAGGCCAAGAAACAACATTTTTCAGAGCTTCAGTTGCTCTTTTACTTTCTTTGGCTTAAAAATCCGTTTTGGTTTAGAAAGAAGCTTAATGCAATAAAGGTTGTTTGTTTACTTAAAGGAACCATGAGCAGAAAAGCAAAACATCATCTCAATTGAACAGTTATGGAAAAAAAATCCTGCTTTGCCAATGAGCAAATTTAAACTTTCTCCCCCTGGACTGTTGCACTGTATCAAAAGCATTTCCTGTGAATAGCACAAGAAAATTCTTTTAATTTTTTTTCCATTTTAGCTTGATCTTAATGAAAGTTTATCAGAAGCTGAAGCTACAAGTGATTCTGATCTACTGATCTGTACAGACCATGGAGCAGGGATACAGAGGGCTCCATAAAAAAAAACAAAGGCTGGCATCCAATCTTATTTAACCATCAGACTCTGATGTTTATGACTGAGGTGCCAGGTTCTGTTGGGGGAAAGAGGGATAAAAAAAAGTAGAGGTCTTCTTCCAGATACATCTCCAAAATATTTAGTCCTCAGGAATGTCTGTGGTGTTTGAAATATTTTGAATATTCAGGTTAAACAAGATTCAGGGATCCAGAAGACTTGAAATGTTACCATTAAAATCCTTCAGGTAGTAGGAGCCTGGATTCTTGTTGGAAAACTTAGGAGATGCAGCAGGATTTCTCTTAATTGTATGTATGAGTACTAAATGGAATAAAAGACTTGTTTTATTCAAGTCTTCACAGAGCTGGATTTGGCTGTGCTTTAGAATTTTGCATGATAAGGGAGAAAAAAATAGGCATTTCAGAGGTGCACTTTGTTAGAGAAGCTAAATCGTGAAGGAGATCATGTATTGATGTACAGGAACTTACTATACAGAAGAAGGAAAAAGGAGGAAGGTTGTTTTAAATGAGCAGTTACTATTGGTACTTGTGTCATTTAAGCATCTAGAACCTATGGGAGGAAAAATATTTAGTAAATCACAAGTAGCAAAACTTATCCACACAATTTTATTGTAACACATTATATCCTGCAGACCTTTCAGACCCCCACTGATTCTGAATGCAAAAGAACTATTGGATTAAGCATATTTTCTAAAATAAATTTAAATGTCTGTCTTTATCCCATGTATTTTTTTCTGAAGTACAGCCTTGAATCAGAGCTGAAGTCAAAGAGAAAAAAATGGGGGGGGGGGGAATCTAGATTAATTGTGTGAAGGGGTTGTTTGAACATGTATACCATTCAGCTCTAGAAAGGCATTGCACTGAGGTCACAAAGGGACTGTTACTGAAAATTTCTGTATGAAGATGAACAAAAATCCACCTTAATCACATCATGGCTCAGCTGTCAGAGGTCTGATGAGGTTACTTCATACTGAACTTTTTGTTACTTCAGATTGCAAACCATGATGTTTCCTTTTGAACTCTCATATCAAATGCTGTTTATTTTTTTAAAGCACAACTCAAAGTCAATATTAATTTAATAATTGTATGGTTTTATTGGTATTTAATGACTATTCAATTGCTTAATAATGGAAAACTTGTTCTTTAACTCAGTGTTGTAATTGAGTGGGCATATCAGTGAATACATTCTCATGCACGTGTTTTTATAAATCATTCTTACTAATGTCTGAAATAAAATTCAAAAACAGAACAATAATGAATAGTTCAGGTACTAATGTTGCAGTTTAAACTTCTTTGAATTTTCTAATGTCCTTCATTTTTTTATTGCCTTTAAAGGTATGATTTTTTTATACATATTTTAACCTTGATGAATATATCTGCCTAATAATAACAATACTAATAAAATTAAATTAAACTGAATTAAAACAAAAAAAAAAGTCTTTAAATATGTGGTGGGGAATAGTTGTCATTTCTGGATTTCTTGAAGGTCTAGGACTGTATTATAAGAAACCCATTTTTCCCTGTCATGTCTTCTTTTATTGTCCCATTTCCTTTGTACCTTAGTCTTGCTGGCCTGTTCTTTTCACATGTCCTCCTTATGAGAAATTTCAATCCACTTAATTTTTATCTTTTTACAGTCAGAACTCCACACAGATGAAGAAGCATTCTATGCCAGCCATTGGCTGACTCTTGTATTTCTATGAACTGTGGGTCATTCTTTAGTCTGAAAAAGATCTTGTTGCCAGCAGTAAAAGGTTGATTATGTAATATCAAATGAAGCCAGTGCAGTTTCTTGTTCCGAGTAAAGTATGTTATAGAATTCCCTTGGTGTTACAGAACATGTTCTTACCCATCAACATCAAGATTTCAATGCACTCATTGCAAGAAGTGTTTACTCAGAATATCCTCTATAAAGTGGGGAATAACCTCAGTTTCTACTAAAATCACGCTCAACACAGATATAGTAGTAGACTGTAAGTGTACCAGTCTGGGTTGCAGAAAAATTTAGGAGTTCCTAGAGAAATTTAGGTCCTTAAGTAGTCCAATGGAAACACCTCCTGAGTGTCTTTCAGGACCTACACTCCTTTCTTACACAGAGCAAAATAGGCCCACTGCAAGAGACCAAAAATATCCTAATGGAGATATATAATTTTTATGATTACATTTACAAGATTTATCTGGTTTGGTGAAGGAGAGTGTGTATTTAGTGTGTTGAGGAAAGGTCTAATGCTAACTGATCTTAAAAAAAAAATTATATTTGTAGTGAGCTTGACTTGATTACTTTTGTTTTTCTTCTCCCCAGACTAGCAGGTCTGCTTCCCTCTCCTGTGAATGTAAACTTTCCCTAGGCTTAAACCAGTGTGAGATCTTACAGGAAAGGGACCTGTCCTTTAGGTTGAGAAGCTGGGAAAACAGCTGACCCGCATGACCTCAGCCTGTATTAGTCATCAGCTTGTTATTTATAAATAGATTTTTAAAAAATCAATGTTCTATGAATATTTCTGTCTCTTTAGCTTTAGGTGATTTTTTTATATATATAATTTTGATGTTTATATTATCCCAGATGCTCTTTATTAGTTTTTTTATTTTTTTCAGATCCCACACTGAACATGATTCAAATTTTATATTTAAGAATCTGTATTCATAGAAGTACAGAACTGACTCTTGGTACTTTTTGTTGGTGCTGATATGAATTATGAAAGTAGAAAATATCCTTAGAGGTAACAAAATGTCTGTGACTGACTCCAAGCTACTACAGTACATTGTTTAATATTGTGTGATAAATGACTGACCGTGTTTGTCTCTAGTATTTTATCTTTTCCTGCTAGTTTATCCAAGTAACTAATTGTAGATGTCAGGCATCTGATGTGGGACAGAGAAACTGGTACATCAGTGTGGATCCACAGTATGGATTATCAAACACATGAGCTTTACCAGTCTTATTGCTTGCAGCATCCAAGTGTCTGCAGTTGACCGGGTAGAACATCTTGCCAGTTATTAGTCATATTTTTTTTCCTTGATGTATCTGTACATTACAAAAAGATTCCATTATCTGTTTCAGAAAGTCAAATAAAAATGAAGCCGTGCTAGGTTATTTATATGTGGGATTTTTAGGAGTAATACTGCTAATTGTGGAAACCCGTTGCTGACTCCTGGTCTGCCATTATTCAAAATATTGGAGCGCTACTCATCTACTGAACTTCTGCTTATGGTAGCGTAACTTCAGTAAGCTGGAGGCTTACTCTAGTTTTCTACAATATTATAATGAAGTTTGTAAAAGTTGCGCTCTTTTTATGCTTATGACTGAAGAGTTTTTTATAAAAAAAATACTTGAAGCAAAAGCTAGAATGAGTCAGAAAGTGCCTGTAGCTGATCAAAATGAGAAAGCAGAATGATGGCATTTCTTTACTCTTACTACAAACTGAGCTGCTCCTTTCTACTGGAATTTAGCCCAACGCATCTGACCAGTAAAATTTTTCAGTACCCAGGGAATCTGGTCTAAGGGTTTGTGTGAATCCTGTTCTTTTCTGCACTGTGCAAGTTATATGAGCTTTGCTCCAAAACACACTTTATTGAATAATTCTGTTATCCATCAACACAAACAATAGAACTGCACTTGCCTGAATTTATATCTTGAGTAATCATTTCAACTTTCATTTAAGTTAGTTTCTAAGCATCTGTTTTTTATTGTGGCAACAGGCCCAAATCTTTGGTAACTGGACACAAGCCTTCATGTGTCCTTAACATTCTTCTTCCTTTTAAATTTTACTTCCCTTTTTTTCCTATCTTCCTACTCTTAGGTTTTTTAAATCTACTTCTGTTACATCCTTTCAGCATTGATTTCTTATTTCTTCCTTTCCTTTTTTTGTTTACTGGGTTTCTAGTCCTTATACGTGTCTTTTACTACTGCGAGAAAGTTGGTCAAAATACTACTAATTGTGGTTTTGTGTGCCTAACAAACTGTGCCATGTCTTGTGCAGTCACATCTATAGTCTGATCAAAATGTTTTAACATATGGCACTGAGTTCACTCAAGGTGTCATATCCCAGACAAATTATACACACCTTCTAAGCAATTTGGATAATCTAATATTCTGAAGACAGGCTGAGATATCTTTTTCATAGAATTTAACTTCTTCGACCTTCCAGAACCTCAGGCAATTGGATGTATAACTATTCTCCACTTTACTAAAGATAAATCTCTCTCTTTTCAAATACTTATGTACACACACGTGAACTTATGTATTTATAGCTAAATAAGGTCATTAAAAACCCAAAAGATCTAGGATGTTTTAACTATTTCATTGACTTTTCAGATTGTTTTTAAGCTGTTTTTTAAACTTTAAAGGCAACACTGATAGTGAACGGTTCCAAATGGTAAAACAGAAAATTCCCTTCAAATATAACCGGCCCGTAGAGGAGTGGCTGCAGGAAAAAGGTAATAGTCATTAAAGCTTTCATTTTAAACCCATTTGATTCTAAATCCTCATTTTTAAAGCTTGCAAATAAATGTTTCTTAAATGATAATCGCCTGCTGCATAAATGACTGTTTTAATTTTCATTATAATTTGTGTCAGCTTCCACCTGCCATATGTTGATAAATCATGCTATAATACATTGCTATTAAAATGCAGTTAAAGGGACAAAATTCTAAGCTTGCTATAATAGTAATGACAAACAAACAAGCAAAAATTTTCTAAAAAATAAAAAAAACACCAAACCACCAAAACAGGGTGAAGAGCAACAAAACATGTATTATGGCAATTTAACCACTGCATGGTTTTCCTATTTTTATTTGTTTTTAAACTACATTTATATCTTTATTATCAAAGTTTTCTTAAACATATTCAAACCTACTCATTAAACCACTTCCTGTAAGGTTGTTGTTTTTTCTCAATTTTTAGTCTGATTAGCCACTATGGCTATGTATTTCCTAATTGTATTAAGATAACTAATTGATTTTAAAAAATGTTGTAAAGAAAACATTTTTTAATATTTTTATTTAAACTACAGTGAGGGAGGCAGAGAAAGATGATTGTTCTGTCGCTTTTATGCTATGTTTGGAGTACAGTTTCAACTCTCATGATATATTTGTTTTAAATCATGGGTCAAATTATTCCCTAATTTGATCTCAGGCAGTGCTATTTAATTTTGTGGGTTTGCCTGGAATAATTAGCCTCAGATCAGTAAAAAGACTTGTTAACATGCACAAGTCCAGCTGGTTTGAGTGAGAGTTCAGCATACACTCCTGACCTGTTAAAATGGGACTTGTGTCAGAACAGTAATATTTTTTTATCAGTAATTTGTAAGGGGAAAAAAAAATTCTTGGCTGTGGAGCCCATTCCAGCAGCTGTCGAAGGTAACTAAATACAATGGTGCTTAAGCCAGAAAGATCTTCTTGCTCTATAATAACTTTGGTATTAAAAAAAAAACAACAAAAAAACCTCCCTGTAACTCCTTGCCTTGAAGTCTAGAAAAAGCAGAACAGTCTTCTCTTGTTTCCTCTTAAGAAAGTACTGCTGATAAAAAGGGGTGACCTTTGAACTCAGATCTTGCATTTTCTGTGCTTATTTTGATTGTTGACAAATTTTCCAAGAGGGAAAACCAATGTTTTGTAGAATTAGAAAAATCTAATTCATGTTCTGTTTCAAACTTGTCATCAGCTGAATTAACAGATTGATTTAGCCAGGACAAATTAGATCACAAAGGATGTGGCTAAGTATAGTCAAAGTATATTTATATGAAGTCTCTGATCCTGCAAAGTCTTGTGCACACTCAGTTCCCATTGACTTCTGTGAGAGCTGACAGTGTTGCCCACTTTTCAGGTTTGCAGCTATAGCTAAAATATTTCTGAAAGCAAGACAAAAGTATTTGTGTAACTGAAATATTTATTTTTTTTTACCACCAAGGTTTTACGGAATAGTTAATTCAGCTAAATTGTAGGTAAATTTTAGGATGAAGGTATACAGAAAATGCTTGTTGAGTCTCAGTGGGTTGCCTTGTTAATTTACAACATCAAACTAAAATAAATAAATAAAGCTTAACACTAAAAAGAGGATAATTTTGGTGAGTTTGAATTGCTAAAGTCCCTTTAACACTAAAGACAGTGATTGCCTCAGCTTTGTTAAAACAGGTGCATGTCTAATTCTTTGATGCAGCTCATGTGCTCGAGAAACTCACCTTTGTTTTCTTGTATTTTGTTTCAGTTATGGGGTTGGTTGGTTGTTTTTTTTCCTTTTTGTTTTTCCACCAAATCTTTTGGTTTATGTCATTGCTTTTTCAAGTCTGAGCTTATGAGCATGCTAAGGCACTTTCATTTGTAAGCCAACCTGAATTTTTGAACTGAAGTCTACCTTTTGTGGTTATTGATGCTTTGTTAAAAGACAATCACACATGCAGTAGGGTCTAAAAAAGACAATATTTGAGTGTTCAGACATTCTCAAAGCATTACTTGTTTTTAGGCTCGAAGAGTAGAGGTATGTTTTTTGCAAAAGTAAAAGGAAATTCAGTTTTCACGCTTTGTGCTAGGGAATGACATCATGTAGTGTAACAGCTGAGACAGTATCACTTTATACATTCATTCCAAAGTAGATAGACATTTTGAGCAACTTAGGTACCACTCAAATTAAAAAATAATAAGAATGAGTAATTTACCTAGCTGTTCACCAGCCTGCTCATCCATCTGGTCATCAGTCCAACAATTAATGTAACATGGAAACCTTCTGTCAGCAGACTTTATACAGACGATGAGTAAAAGGGTAGCTTGCTATAAAAATGGAACAGGATGAACTGATGGATGAAGGAATAGACAGATTCATCAAAGAGACAGCATATAGAACAGCTTTCTTGCCCATATGAGTTCTTGGCTTGAGCAAGGTAAAATGAAACACTTTTTGATTGACATTTTTGAATTCCATAGATTGGGTCTTCCTTTGGTACCACTGTTACGCTATTTATAATAATGAAATAGTTCATTCTTGGGGAAAAAAAATCATCTTTCTGAAGTGGCATCATTGCTGTTTTTTTATTTTGGTTCTTGTAATTTTTTTTATTTTTGTAAAATGGTTTAAAATACTTTTAAGAGGAGCCCAGGTAATAAGCAGAACATGAAACAGTTTTAACTTTACTGAGATTATGTATGTGAGTAAAACAAACAAACAAAAAAAGAAGTATTAGTCCTAAATTGTTCAATAAAGTAGTCATACTTAAATTATGATAAGTCACAGATGTTACCAATTCTGCAATTGGATGAGCTAATAAAGACCTAGAAGCATCTGATTGAAAGGACTGATCCTGGAAGTCCTTAATTCTTCAAATCTCTCTTACTTACATGTGAAGTCTTGTTGATGTAAGTGACTGTACTTTTGAAGCAAGAACTGTTAGTATGAATTAGGATTTGCAAAATGAGCCAAAAAATCACTCTTAGAGTTATGGAAAACTTACACTTTTACTAAGATTTCTCTGTGATATTTTTAATTGTTATACAGTTTTCCAAATGAAGAAGTCAATGAGAGAGCAAGCAAAAAGCCTGAGAGGTTGAATTGTTCAGAGTACTTGCAAAACACCTCAAAAACACCTCAAAAACTTAAAATATTTTTCTCTCATATGACACTAAAGTAGCAGTAGGAAGAGTTCTCTGTGGAAAAGGACTGTAATTCCGCAACCCTTACACACCTAGTAGAATTTACTAATGGAAACAGTAGCACAATAAAATTCAGTGGCCAAATAAATTTTACTTAGGTGAAGCAAGGGCTTCAGAACCATACCATCAGAAGAATGATTAGAAGAGACCTATGGTGGCAGAATTAAGTGTTTGTTCTCTTAACAGTCTTCTCTCATTTCACATTCATTTCCCTGTTGTCTTTACTCATGTGCCTGTATACTATCATAGACTGAAGAATGAGAAATATCAGGTTTTAAGTGGCTCCAACAAGTGATTGTTCTTTTAGCAAACACAATTCTGGTACCAGGGCTGTCTCCAGTATTAACCATATGGTGCAGTGCATGAATCCTGGTCTGGAAGACCACTTCACAAACAAGGGTCCAAAAGACACAAAGTTCTTTTCTTTACTGGAGTGGGGCTCATCCTTCATGTACACTTCCTTTCAGCATTAGAAGATGCAGATGAAGACCCAGAAATGTAGACATGATCTTTTTTTTCAGCCTCAGTATATACCTTATTCTTGAATGTAAAGCAAGAGATATGACAGATATGTCTAAAGCTGTACTATGAGCTTGGGTTAGAACAGATGACATCCTTAGGAGAGTTGTAATTCTCCAGTAAAAGTGAGGGAACCCCTTTTCTGTCATGACTTGGAGCTCTCCTAGCTGGAACTGCTAAAATTCCTTCGTTATCATCACCCACCCCTTTTCCCTTTGATAGAAGATTAAAAAAAATGCAGCACTGATTCAAGGGGAAAAAGGAATGGAAACGGAAAACTTTGAATGGTCAATACTTTCCCTTAATTTTCAGGGGTAATACTGAAATAGCAACTTGTTCTTTACTCATCTCACCTCTACCATTTGCCACTCTTATCATGAGTGAGGTGGGAAGGGGGAAGGAGGGAACAGTATTAAGTGAAATGTCTGGGTATGTAGGGGCAGGAGCAGTATGGAAACACATAGCATGCTAGAAGGAAGTAATATGTGAGAAGGGAAAAATGTGTAGTAAAGAACTGACAGCATATCCATTTAAAAAATCCAAAACACAAGACAGAGAAGAAAAGCAAACTGAGGATATGGTATATGAGTTTGTATACACACTTCTACAGTGTGTAGTGCAATGTCCTCTAGGTCAGACAGGAGCTGGGCTGAGAGGGCTGAATATTTTGACAGATATTGGCAGATCCTATTTTTCTCATAGACAAGAGGAAAGGCTCTGTTTACATGCTGAGGATGTGTGGCTTCAGTGCATGTTTGTTGATGTTTTAATAGATATATGTTGCCTCTGGTAAGTTTAAAACCTCCTGAGATGCAGAATATCGCATCAGGTGTTTCAACACTTTCCAGGGGAAGGATACCCTCCATTTTTATTTCTCATTTCTTCATCAATGCAGTTACTCCACCCTGATCAAGTCTTCATATTTTATTTACAAATCTGTAGGTGAGGAGCACAAGGGATGTGCAGCCCACCTCCACTTGTCCGTATGTTACACCTCTCCATACACTTTTGCTTAGTTAGCTAGGGCCCTCTTTGGGGACAGGAATTCCTTTCAGATACATTTCTTCTCTTGTCCCCATTCTCTTCCCCATGGTCCATCCTGTCACCATAAGATGATGCAACACCGCATCACCACTTGACTTCAAGACCCGTCACGACGACCACCAAAATTGGTGAGCTCCCCCTCATATTTTGCTGTAACCACTGGCTGTGAAAGAATGAGCAGTGGGTTATAGGTTGTGCTTTGTTACATGGTGGCATTTTGCACCTCTCATCAGGGTAGACTAGAGAGAGGAAGTGGTGAGTGAGAACTGGGGAGCGGGAATGGGATGGGAACATGTGATGCAAACTTCATAAAAATGGGAAATCAGAGTAGATATTTGAATGATGATTGACTTGATGCTGCATTGATAACCCTTCTGAGCTCTGCCCAGTCTGGCTGTTAATTCAGCAGATTCCAGGTGGCATGTCCCTAATTTTCTGAAGAACAATGAAATTATAGGCACTGCCTTTGCACTGCATGAAGCAATTTATTTCTAGACATAGTCAACCTAGTGCAGCCTGGGACATACACAGTATTCATAGAGCAGTCCAGGCTGAATATGATTTAAGTATCCTACAAAATCAGGTGAATTGGCAATTGTTACTAGATTTATTTTTAATAAATATATTTTTCATTACATATGATGTTAGACCATTCCTAACACTCAAAATATGATCTTGAGTAAACCACTTAACCTGTCTACATTTGAATTTCACTGTCTTTAAGAGGGTAATCAAGTGTAAGGCATTATGAGGCTTAAGTATCTGAAGCACTGTATTATCCTCACTATTTCAAAAACTTTGCTCTTTCAGAGACACCACAAAAGTTTGCATTTGGTGTTTCTTGGGTTCAGATTCATCAGCCTTCACAACACAAAATTTACAGGTGGAAGATCATGATGGATCCTGTCTTTAGATTCCTACACAATTCTTACATCAATATTTTTCTGATGTGGTCCTCAAGCCACCCCTTAAAACCTTTGTACTATTAAAAGTGGCTTTATGAGTGAATCCCATCCTTTGACCAGTCAAAATAGAAGGTTTATTTATGGGCTAAAGTTTGACAGGTACTGCAATTGAATTAATAGTGGAAAATGGCCACATAATGGAGCCTTATTTGTAGTTTAAAATAGGTCCAACTCTAAAAGAGTGGGTACAAATTTCTGACTGACTCAAAGCTCCTCCAGTGTTTTGATGTGTGAGTAGATGCTGAGGTATGAGGTTCAATTTTAGCTGTTCTTGCTTTCAGGCTAATCTTCCTTATTAATGAGTTTTAGGCAGTACATTTCCATTCTGTTTCTACAGTCATCATAAACACTACCAAGAATGAATCTACTTCTTTGTTGTCCGTCATTTCTGGCCAGGACTCAATGTAAGATGCAAAGTGAAGGAAATGTCTGGCAATAATGTTATTCACCCCCCTTCACTAGGACGACAGTTAACGATCTTCAACACCCAGGCGCAAATAGCCATAGGAGGGAAGGACAGAGGGCGTCTCTTCCAAGGCCAGCTCTCCGGTCTCTATTACAATGGCTTGAAAGTGCTGAACATGGCAGCAGAGAACAACCCCAACATTAAAATCAATGGAAGTGTCCGACTTGTTGGGGAGGTCCCTTCCATCTTGGGAACAACACCCACAACCTCCGTGCCACCAGAAATGTCTACTACAGTCATGGAAACCACAACTACAATGGCCACTACTACAACCCGAAAAAATCGTTCGCCACCCAGCATCCAGGTGAGTCAGTCTTTTGCATTTTCTTGGCTTCTTAATTAGTCTTTTGTTTTGCTCCTCACTTCTAAGCTCATGGGAGCCATGTTCTCTGAATCATGCTCCATGTAACTATTTTATTAACATTATATAAGGTAAATCATCACAATATATTGTCCTGTGTTGGTGAACAAACAGCTGGACGAACTATTATGGCACATGTACGTGTAATGGGGACGTATTTTGCTCCTGTTGTACTGCAACCCCATTTGTGTAATTAGTATTGCCCCATTGTGAATGAAAACATGATTGTAACTGTTTTTACAGTTGCATATCTGGGGAAATGTATTCCTAGGAGAATTACAATGCTTAATGGAGGGTGGGTGTATGTTTATTATTACGACCGTATGTGCTGCTGCAACAGTGAAATTCATAATGGGGAGAAGAGCAATGGAACATTACTTCCAGGTAGAGCCATTTTTCATTTCCCTTTTATAGCCTTCCTGTAGAAAATTTTAAAAGAACACTGTCAAGATCAGTTTCTTGCAAAATGTAGGAGCTCCAACATAGAGTGGTTCCAATGTCTTTGGTAAAAAACATTCCAACAAAAATTACATTTCAGATGTTCTGGCTTAATTGTGTTTATGTAGTGTTTAATGGCCCAAAAATGCAGTGATTTTTGAACCACTTGTGTGGCAAACTGAATATGGTACTGATTAGAAATAAATACATTAAATTGGCTCCCCTTATCTGTGCAAATAAAAGAATCATGTAAACAACCAATCTAAGCAATGGATCAGATTTTTAAAAATGCTTATTTCAGTGGCATACTATCATGTTATCAACTAGGATGAAACATTTGCTTTAAAATCTTTATTTACATCAGAACCTCAACCTGTAGAAATTGACATACTTTCATTGACACCAGCATACACCAGCTGAGACGCTGGCAAATAATTATTGATCAGTGTGCCTTTATTAAACCCCCAGAGAAAGGTATATTGTTGTCTAGTTGGAGAAAAAATAAAACAAACAGTTATTACATCTGCTTCCTTGAAACAATTTCTGCTGCCTGGGACAGAATATCTTAATGAAATCAAGGATTTTGAAACCTGTAATCATACAAGTTGCATGCTTGCTTTCTAACTGCTTCAGAAAGTTGAATCAGTTATTGATTGTACTTTTATATATATGACCATTTGCTTCATTTTTTATCTAGTGCTGGTCACTTAGGATAAGAAAACACAAAAATTGTCCTCTTAATCTTGTAGGAGGTCAGGCCATACGTGGAATATTTTGTCCAGCTCTGGGCTCCTCAGTGCAAAAGAGAGTGAGCTACTAGAGAGAGTCTAGCAGAGGGCTTCTGAGATGGTTAAGGGACCGGAGCATCTCTCCTATCAGAAAAGGCTGAGAGAGCTGGAACTGTTCAGCTTGGAGAAAAGAAGGCTCAGGGAGTATTTTATTAATGTTTATAAATACTTAAGGGAGGATGTAAAAATTGACTGTAGTACTCAGTGACAGAATCAGAGGCAATAGACACAAACTGAAACACAGAAGTTTCCCTCTAAATGTCAGGAAACAGTTTTTTACGGTGAGGGTGACGAAGTACTGGCATAGGTTGCCCACAGAGGTTGTGGAGTGTCTATGCTTGTAAATATTCAAAAGCCATCTGCACATGGTCTTGGGCAACCATCTCTGATGACCCTGCTTGGACAGGGAGAGGGCTTAGACCAGCCGACCTCCAAAGGTCCCTTCCAACCACAACCATTCTGTGAAGTACCTCTGGGTGCAGTAGAATTTACAACTATTGGGGTAATTAATTCCAAGCCAAGGTTTAACATTGCCCTCTTTGATACTCTGTAAATCCATTTGGCAGAAGGACTGGGATTAACTAAACCTCAAATACCAAACAGGTGATTTATAAAGTCTCAGCTAAGTGAAGGGAAATTACCCGAGGTTTGGCCATTGTTATAAACTTTGAAAGAACTACAGTTCCTTTTCCTCAGTGGCTAGCTCTAATTTTAGAGAAAATCTTTGTAAGATTACATCTCCATAAGAATAAAGTCTGTGGTCTTGATCCTGCTGTTAGGTTATCAGAGATTTTCTGTAATTTATAAAGGCACCAGAGCTGTGTTTAGCTATAGCAGTGTAACAGAGAGTAGCACTGGATCTTTGTGAGCTGGGTCAAACTGGAAATGACCTTGACTTACTTGAAGAGGAACTACTCCAGAAAGCTTCCTGTCTAGCCTACATGGCAGTTCACTCAGCCTGTAGAGACCACTGTGTGCTGAAAGAGCATCAAGAAGATTTAATAAAGTGTCAAAGTGCTTCTAAAAACATGGTTAAGAGCAGTGATTTCCTGGATACACATGCACCACAACAAATGGCCTCATCTCAGCTGATATTAAAGCAATAACTCTTTGACACTTCATGCTACCCACTGAAAGAAAGATAAAGGTCAATATGTACCTCCATTACAACTTTCTGCATTTCAATATCAGGCCATTTTATTGCTGTCACAGCACAGATGGCTTGCCTTTCTTTACTCTTGGTAGAATCTGATTCTGTCAGCTTTAGTTGTGTTATTTGTACAGAGAAAGTGAGAAGAAATTGTCTTTTTCTGTTTGGGCAGTATCTCCAGCTGTGGTTTTCTGATGCCTAATGGTTATTTTATCTCACTTGTGTTCAACATCACCATTGTCAAGACTGCTTATGACTTTAGATCTAAGTGGTGGAAAAATCTAATAGAACAAGTTTGTTCTTTGGGGAATGTAAAATATAGCTACCTAAGGCTATGAGCAGTACAAATACAGTTAGTTATTACCTTGTTCCAGCTTTCTCTTTTTCTGCTCAGAAATAAACAATTTTTCTTCACTTTCAAGACTATTCACAGTTTAGCCTCTTCCCATTCTGATCAGCACGATTCAAGAACTTTTTTGCTTGCTTCTTAGATTTGATCATAAGAATCTTTCTGCTGCCTGGTACTATCCACAAGGCAACAGCAGGTTATTTTTCCAGTCCCATTGAAACAGAAACATTTCTTTTATCATGACTCATGTCAGGAAGTTGTCAGAGGTAAGGCTGATGATGGTCTAAGACAGCTGTTTATCAAGCCGCTCAGTATTGGCACATTTTTTGTTTAATTATCCATTTTTTTCTGTAGCTATGTGTGAGATCTTGGATACCACACATGGATACAGAAAAATGTTTATGCTTGGATTGAAGACTCCTTGAATTCAAAATGTATTTTCTATTCTTCATGTCTACTCTACTTACCACAGAAGGATTCTGGCCCATTGTAGAAATACCAATCATGATACAAATAAAAGTAAAGTATCTAATACAAAATAGCAAGAATTGGGATAAAGAAGCATTGTTCTTACTGTATTAGAAGTATTTATTCTGTTTGTATTACTCATTGTCATATGTAAATAACAAAAACTTCTCTTTTTTGAAATGCATATAAAGCTTTTGCAGAATATCAAGTCTGTAATCCCAAAGTGATACAAAATCCAGGGGAATTTCAGTAGGATTTAGATTTACACATTGCTTGTTAAGGAAGTACAGAAGAGCATGATAAATGCAAAGACTTCTGTTTGTAACCTCTTGCAGTTAGGTAGTATGAGTACTGCAGCTGGGGAAATTCAGTGCTTTAAAAATACACAGTATATTCACAGACCAATGATATGCTTTTCAATTTGTGAAGATCCCAAACATATAGTCTCAGACAGAAAAATAAGACAACGGGAACTGACAGAAAAATGTTACTGGAAATACCCAGTGGCAATGATATTAGCATTTAAAATGTCTGTAACTTCGTTTTGTTTTAAAATTCAAAATAACGTTTCTTCAAGACAGTGAAACTTAGATCAGTAGAGGACAGGCAGGATTTGAGTGAGAAACTGTTGAGATGTATGACTGTATGTTATACTGGTAGGACATTTCTGTGAATCAAGTATAATTCAGAGAGGTCTTGAAGGAGGATAACAAAATGTCTTTTGATTCTCCTTTCCATCCCACCCAGAGACAGGGAGGAAAATGTGTGAGCAAATGGCTGCATGGTTCTGAGTTACTGTCGGGGCTTAAACCTCAACACAGGAGCTGACCTTTTTCTGTTAACTGAAAATAAGGGAGAAAAAGGAGGTTTGATTCGTGTTTGTTTCAGTAAGTTTCAAATGCTGCTTGTGCTCTGCTGCCCCCAAGTAGAAACACTGATCTAACTTTCTCACACATGGTTTTGCTCTGAATTTTACAGTCTGTTTAGAAGTTACATGCATTGTACTAAATTCGTGGTGCTTGTCTCAGGGCCCTGACACACCAGACTGTCCTGCAATAATAATGTATTCTCTAGGAATTCTGCTTTGCCACGTTACTCTACAAAGGCCTCAAAGACAAGTTGTTAGCTTTTGTATGTGGTGCAGAAACATGCTGTGCAGGCAGCTATTAGGTGAAAGTAGCTGTACTGTGCCACATCACATTCTTGCAAGGCTGCCATGTTTCTTGCAGGGTTACTTCATTAGCAGTTGTTAAAAGTCCTGGAATCCCATGTGTCCCTATGCTTAATTTAAAGCACAGCTTCAGTTATTAGTGAATTATTCAGGGATTTCTGGGTTTGGGAGCCTTTTGTGAAAATGAGTTTAAGTGACATTCTCTTGGTTTCTGCTTCCATGTCAGCTGCTTATATGCTCAGAATTTATTTAGTGAGCTGCTGCTCAGAGACTTTTAGGAGACTCTCCATATGCTCTCATGTGGTGTTTTCCATCCAGTTCACAGCTGGGTCACTCAGTGTTCAAGTGATTTGTGTAAAGTTTCTTTGAAGTTAATTACTAAGTAAAGCTAGTCTAGAAAAGCATGCATGGTGATACACAAAGTCTTCATTTCAAAGCATGTTCAGGTCAGCAAATCCAAGATATGATTTCAGCTGGTGCATGGGTCTTTAAGGAAAACTGCTCCAGTTCAGCCTGGAGAAGAGAAGGCTGCGTGGAGACCTCATAGCAGCCTTCCAGTATCTGAAGGGGGCCTATGGG